CAAACTGTAAGTTAACATTTATACCCATGGTTTCCTGATGAAACCTATTTGATTCCCCTTGTTTTTTTGTTTTGTTTTGTTTTAATTATTTTATTTAATTTTATTCATTCATTTATTTTAATTGGACCAGAGAGAGACAGAGAGAGAGAGTAAGTGAGAAAGCAAGCCGCCAGGTCCAGGACTTGAGCTGTGGTCAGCCGTGTGGGAGTGTCCAATGCCTTAACCACCACACCACATTCTGGTTCCCCCTCTTGTTTCTAACTCATCATGTGTTTGGGTTTCTTCTCCCCTGTCTCTGCCACCATCCAGAGGTTTTTGCCTGGGACCGCAGGCATCACCATGGCTGTATCCCTCAGCCCTCTGTCTGAGTCCAAGGCAGAAAGGAACATCTTAGAGGTTGATCAGCAGTCGCGTTCCCAAGAGGTTGATCAGCAGTCGCATTCCCAACCAGCAGTGAGTGAACAGCAGTACCAAGATCCCAAAGAGAAATTTCCTGCATTGGAGGCTACTGCCTCCTCCCTGGCCATCCAGCTGCAGAAATCCAGTAAGTTCTCTAGGTTCACCATCACCAGTGCGATAAATGATTATGTGTCTTCTTTCTGAGAAACCATAGACTTAATTCTCCTTCCTCACAGACATAAATTGTATTCTGTCATCCTCCTAGAAAGAAGGAAGAGGGAATTTTACCCTTAGCTTGATGAGAATGGAAAGCCTTGCAAGATTCTAGTGAGTTGTAGGTGGGACAAGAGCTGAAACCCCAGTTATTGATTCCTGTTATTTTTCTCAGGAACAGGATAACAAATTTTTATTAGGATGTTCTCTGCATTGTGTCAGTCTACAGATACAGAAACATAACAGCACTGTTGACCTAAATGTCTGGCACCAATGACCCTTCATCCAATTTGAGCTTCTGCAGAAGCCCCTAGGAAAATGACTGGAAAACACAGGATGACATTCCACAGTGCTTGCTTTAAAGAAGTGTAAAGATAAGTTTGCAGGGGACCAGGAGTTGTCGTAATGGCTATGTCACTGGGCTCCCATGTAGTCGACAGTGGTTTGAGTCCCAGACCTGGTGGCTTAAACTCATGGTTGCTTAAACTCATACAGGGAGTGTGAGGAGAATGGATTGCAGCATGGCTATCCACCCGGGGAGTTATTTCTCACTTTCTATCTCTCTGACTCTCTGTCTTTCTAGCAAGCACATACATACTCTAACAAAAACCTCTCCAAAAGAAAAAAAAAA